ACCTGAGAAAACTGAAGATTAAAACAAAACAAAAATAACAAAGAAAAAACAATTTGAAAGTCAAAGTACTTTTATTTTAAAGTTCTGAGTGCATAAGTAAACATACTGCATGATAATGCAAGTGGGCTAAATAAGAGAAACACAAAGAAATATAATCTCCAGTACTTCTTTTGTCCCTGCTTGCTCAGTCTAACATACCTCACTGCTCACCTACACAAACTCCTTGGAAAAAATTGGAAGTTCAGCAGGTGCACACTCCCATCAGTGGGTGAAAATTAAGCCTTAAACCAGTTTCTTAACAGTAGCATGGTAAAAAATTTACCTCATATGGCATATTGATTAAGGTATTTATCACTGAACTAAAATTACTTTTTCAGATGAAAAACTGGAAAGTAGTTAATAGATAATTAAAAGTTCACTAGATACTATTTATACAACATAAAAGCAACTAACTATAGGCATGTTGGTCAACTAGAAGTATTCTCAGACTGAGATCTGCTGGTCTCACTGATTTTTGTGCTTTTTCTCTTATTCTAATGCGCCTATTTCCTTTCCTTCTTTACCTCCTTGCCTTTCAATTGTTTCTGCTACAATCAATTTCACCCATTTTCTCCAAAGTGTTCACAATATATTATTGATCCTCTTTTTTGTTCTGACTTTTTAAGCATGCTTCTTTTATCCTCATTCCTTTACTAGGCTATACCATTTTTCATCATGTTTTTTTTTTTCCTTTCAAATTATGCTTTTAAAAAAAAGAGCATTAATTTTTGTAAGTCAACATATTTATTCTGCAAATATTTGCTGAGTACCTCCCATGTGTCAGTCACTGTACTAAGTACAAGGATTCAAAGACATGAATAATAATTGGTCTCTATCTCAAAAACACAAACACATACCAACTGGTATTTTTAAAGTGGTAATTTTGTGCTAGAAATATGAACATGATAATGTGGGAGGATGGAAATGAACTTCTCCCAGGTCATGAGAATGTTAAAAAGGCTTTATAAAGGAGATAAATTTGAGCTGGGTCTTGGAAAGATTAGCAGAACTTATCAAACTTATAGGGAAAAGAACAGGAGGAAAATATTCTAGAGAAAAGGTACAGAACAAATCACAGCACAAGTTAAGTATTTGACAGTGTAGAAGATCTCAGATTATCTGATGTGACTAAAGCAAACTACAGGTGGTGGAAAGTGGTAAGATATGGGTTTGAAATGGTACAATGGGGCCAGATTGTGGACTGGAGTATATGATCTCTTTCTACAGGAAATGAGGCGTGATTAGCTCTTTTGGAAAATTTGGTAGTATTGAGGTGAGAGAGGAAGATACAAGGAAGATAGTAAGGAGACTACTGAAAAAGTCCATGTTAAAGTTAGTAAGTACTTGCTCCCAAGAAGGTGAAGAGAAAGAGGTGGGTGAGAAATATTTTGGAGGTTGTGAAAAACAGATTTTGGTCAACAGTTGAGTTAGAAGTAGGAGGAAAAGAAGGAGTTAAATTCAAGTTATGACTTTTAGCTCAGGTAAGGGGATGGCAGATGATGAGTAAAAATTTGAAATATAGTACTGATTAATAAAAGCACAGGTTAGGTTTTATCTTTGAGAATAACGAAGTAGAGGTGATAACGTGTTTTAGATGTAACAAATAAAGTATTTATGGGATATTCAAAAACAGATATTCAATAAGCAGCAAAAAATTTGGGTCCAGAACTCAAGTTTAAAGACAGGTATATTTGGGATTAATCACTAATATAAGAGAAGCCCTAGATTTAAAAAAAAAAACCAAAAAACAACTTTTCTTTGAATTCTTGCATTGTTTGAAATGTTTTTTTTACAAAAGGAGTCCTTAAAGCAGGGGTACATATATATGTACATACCTCTGCTGACTTAATATGTGCTGAATAAAGAAAGAACAGAATATATTATAAAACCAGTCAAAAGTAAGATAAAATAAGGCCTAAAAATAAACAGTAATACTCAGTTGATTTTGAAGCTCTAATTTACAGAATCAAAGTTGCAGCATTATGTTAACTTGGAAATGAAAACCACATGGGAAATGAAAAAGAAAAGAAAAAGGGAGAGAATTAAAAATGTAACAGCAAGTGAGGGAAACACAAGAGAATGGGTAAAAGTACACAGGTAAAAAAAAAGTAAATTTTTTTTTTTTTGTTAATGAGTGGAGTTTTTACTTTGCTAAACTGTTAGTGAATCAGTTATAGAAAACTGCTGAATTACCACTGAGATTAAGTGAAAAAGGAAGCAAATATGGGAAGATATACATATAAGCCAAGTGTGAAAAACGGCAAACAAAATCATAAGAGCAAAAGTTATTTACAAAGAATAAAAGGAAAATGATAAAATAAATTAAAAAGGACAGGAAAATGAAATGATAAGAAAATATACAAAAATAAGCATACTACTAATAACAGGACAGAGTAAAATGCTTAAGACAAAGTGTCTATGTTATTACTTAGGAGTAGTAAACAGTGTAGTGTAGTGATTATGTGTGTTGCTGCCTTGGATTTGAATTTCTGTATCTCAACTTGCTAGCTATGTGGCCTTGAGCAAAGAAAATGGTTACAAAGATTATAGTACCCATAAATTGCCCAATACTTAATACTCAACAAATGAAGATTATGAGAGAAAAATTAGTCCAGTGTATATTACTATATGAAAGTCCAACCTCCAGGGATTTTTCTAATCTAAAACATGGATTGTTATAGCACTTGAAATAAACTTTTAAAGAACTAAATGATTAAATTGCCTGAGACAGTTTTACCTGAAGTGTCAATCCTGCCTGACAATAATGAGTAAGAACAGGATGTGAAATTCAATTTGCTCATTGTATCTCAAACTATGTCATTCATAGTAAAATATTTTCTTGGTGGGGGAGTCATCTTTACAATACCAGTTATTTGGTCCAGTTAGTTAATATGCAATCACAAAAATAACATCTACATAACCGTGTTTGTTGCCTTCCTTTTGAACTGCCTGAAAAATACCCTACCAGATGGGGTTTAGTTAATTGTGCTAAACACACTAAAAGCCTTTACAGTGTGTTCAACAACACTCAAGCTTAGAATAGAAGTGAAAACTGAGGTGGGAGTTTTCACTACCATAAGTAATAGTGAACTACCAATAAGGCAGAATTTAAATTATGAGATATTTTACTATACATGTTTTATTAAATCCTATGTGTAGAGAAGTGACTTCTTTTTAACTTGCCTTTGTAAGATATCTTACTAGTAAAAGCAGAAAATAAAAATTTCAAAATCCTTAATTTTGATATAGAGAAACTAGAACAACAACAACAAAAAATCAGCAGAACCAGATCTCTGATTGTAGTACGGGGAAATATTATTTGATATAAACGTATTCGTACACATAGTTTTTCAAGAATACATCTCATCCAAAAAGTTTGTTCAAACTGTAGAATTTTTCAAACTCACCACAACTAGATAGTGTCCAAAGCTTCTGGGTTCTTAACCTTTGAGTCCCACATCCTATATATTGGAGTTCTTAACAGAGAGGGACCATCGACCACTAGGTCATGAAAAAGCTTTAGGGTCCTTGAATAGCCTGAAATGGTTTGTGACACTTGATATGCATGTACACAAGAATATTTTCTGGGGTAAAGGCACATACATTTCGTCAGATTTTCAAAGATTTCTCACAAAGCTTAATGATCACTGTTAAAGACATTTAAATAACCAGATGTGTGTACAATGTGCCAATCCTCAACTCACTGCAATCTGACTTTGTCCCCAGCTCTCTGGAATCATTTCAGCCTACAGGATTAAGTTTCTGGTTGTTAAATTCAAAATACATTTTTTGGGGGTACTTAGTTTATTTGAATGTTTGGTAGTTCCGTATTTTGTTTAAAAGCACTGATTCTAAAAATCCAGCTGCCTAGGTTCAAATCTTGGCTCCATCAATTTTTAGCTTTGTGACTTTGGGCAATTTACTTAATGTGCCTCTGAGTAGCATCCTTTGTAAAGTTTCTTTATTCATAGAATTCTGTGACCATCAAAGGGTTGAGTCAATGCAAGAATCACTTAAAAACCTTCTAAAAAACAAAGTGTTATGTAACAGTTATCTGGTATCTCTAATTACTCTTTTCTTGAAAATCATTTGAAACTGGCCTAATTCTGACTTGTCTGACAAGTTCTTGGTTTTAACACCCTATTTCAGGTTTTCCCTCTCCAATGTATCTTTTACACCATGGCCAAAATGATCATTTGAAACTATAACTAGCTATCCTGTGCTATGGCCATTAATAAAGTCTGAACTCCTTAGCATTATAGACAAGACCCTTTATTATAGTATATCATTCTAGTTCTTCCTTATATCTCAACTGTCTCTACTTGAGTTAAGCTAAACCAAGTTGTTACATTCCCAAAATATGCCTAACTCTCTCTACATATGACTTGAACATGCTATTAACTCTACATGCCCCATTCTCCTTCTCTTGAAATAAATTAACTCTCCTTTCTTAAGGTGCCTGCAACAACTTCACACAGTATTTATCACATTCTATTTTAGATGCCTGTTTGATTCCTGATACAATTCATCTAGTTAGATCTTCCCACTAGCTCCTATTAAGAACAAAAGGGGCTGGGCAATGGAACAGGCCTGTAATCCCAGCTATCTGAAAGGCTGAGGCAGTAGGACTGTGTCAAAATGTGAGGGCCAGCCTGGGCAACTTAGTGAGACCCTGTTACAGAATCAAAAATAAAAAAGGACTAGGGTTGTAGCTCAGTAGTAGAGAGCCCTTGAGTTTAATTTCCAGTATGGGGAAAAACCAAAAACCCAAATGGGGCTGTATTTATGAATCTTATTCTGTTATTTTTCCACTACCCTGATCTTAAACCACTTTCCTATTCCTTTATTCTTCATTATCATATCCTTTCTTTTTAATTAGTGCAATGAGGTTAGGTGGAAATGTACCTAGAAAGGATATGTGTACTTAAATTAACTAGATAACAAAACTTCACACTGAAGGGAACATTCTAGAAGGATTTATTTCATTGCTGACCATTAGGTTGCAGCATGCAACTTCTCAACAATAAGGTGCTACTCTCCACTCCTACAAAAGCACCAAATGCTATGGTACTACCACTTAGGTTTTCAGTTTTATTACCAATTGTCATATGCCTTTTAGGGACTTAAAAGCACTTATTCTCTATAAAAGAAACCTCATATTTCATGCATAAAACTCTAATTGGCAGATATAGATCTATAATAGAAGAAAAAATCCTAGTTCTGTTAAGTTATCAGAAATAAAATAAGCATTTCTACTTCCCTTGTTTTAAGGAAATGAGATTATTTTTTTCCTATCAGGAATCAGAACAGTGGTTCTGATGATCCTTTAAGGTTATAAAACTGCTTACTAGTTAAAAGTTCCCTCTAAAGATGTTAAGAAGTTGGCTTATTTTCCTGTATAGTTTAAAGAAATATTTGCAGTATGTGTAAGAGTTATAGGTTATATTGTAGACACTGGCATTAATATTCAAAAGGCCTATTATCCCCTTTTAAAAAATTCCATGTCAGAAGGTAAAAGGAAATCCCCAATATCCCTGAGTGAAAAAGGAAAAAAAAATTATAGTTACTTTTATTGGTTAATAGAAGTCATTGTAAATGTATTTTCTATCTTTAGAACATTCTTGAATACTTTGCATAAACTGAAACAGGAATGAGGTGCTCTCAGATTTGCTTAGATAAATGTAGCAGTATGATTAGTTCATCTGCAGAGATTTCAAATTTAATTAACTATATAGCCTAACAGTTTCCATTTTGAAATGTGACAATATCCTGAAAGGATGTTCATGGGACATGAAACTAATGGATAAAGGGGAATTTTTAAAACGTTAGCAGGAAAAAAAAAAAAAAACAGAGTGGGGAAAACTATAATGTAAGTAAGGGGGCAAGACAAAGCTGTAGTACTGAGCTGGGCCTTCTCTTTAAGCTAGGGGCCTCTAGCAATCCTATGCTATATCTGCTTTTATAATAATATAAGCAAAAAGCTGAGAAATAAAATTAATAATGTCCCAAACTAAGTCTTTTGTTTAAAGAGTAAATAAGAGAAAAATTTTAGCTTCTTAATCAAGGAGTGCTTTATAATTTCAAGGCATCTTAATATAATTCATTTAACCCTACAGCAATTGTGCAACAAGCAAAATATCATAAAAGGAAAACAACAAAGGTTAACTCCTATAGGGGCCAACAGACAGGATTGGTGCAGCACAGTAATTAACCTTCACATACTTGAAGTCTTGTTTGAAAGGCAGAAAAAACTCAGATTACTGAAAATCACAAATGTCACCAACAAAAGGAATGTTGATTAAAGTCAAAAGAACTTCCCAAAGGGTTGCCTTCTTTGAAGGAATTTCAGAATATTGCTAGCACAGATTGGCTACCTTAAATCTCACTAATGGCTCCATTAGAGAATGAGAATGCCCAGTCAGTGCTGTTAAAAATGTACTGGGAGGGAAAAAACAAAATAAAACAATCTACTGTTCCCTAACATATATGGCTTAGCACCCAGAGAAAGCCTCTGCCCCCAAAAGAGACTTTCCACAAAGGGTTAAGCTTCATTAAATGAGGCGTACTCTTTCATTTTCAGGATGTCTTTTCTTGCAAGGTCTTTAGAGGCAGAAGTTCCACTTGGATTCTAATACACATTTCTGTGAGCTCAGCTTCCTGAAAACTTACACCTGCCAGGTTCTAGGTTCTCCCTTATCAATGACTGGATTCACTACTTCACAGCCACCAGAATCGCACATACACTATTAACATGATGAAAAATACAGCTACTGCTGCAAGTTTGGCATAAGTGGAACGCATGTTCAAGTACTTCGCATCCTGGCGGTATTTCTTGGACAGACTGGACAAATTGTTGGCCTTTGAATCCAATGCTGTCAAAGAGGAAGAAGGAAACCATTAATTAGTCCTAGGAAGTATTTCATCAATAATATTAAGGCATAAAAATAACCAAAATGAGAGGCATATTAACAATGAAACTTAAATTTTCATTTTTATTTTAAGGGTAAGGTTACATATATTAACTCAAAACTGCAGTGCTATAAAATTTATAATATATTTTAAAATCATCTGACCAAATTATGTGCAAAATTATTGAGGCTGTATAGTGTGGTGGTCGGGAGCACAAATTTTGGCCTTAGACTCTCTGGTTCAAATATCAGCTGTACCAACCATGTAATTAATGTTCATCAAGTCACTTAGCCTTTCCCAGTCTCTTTCTTTCTTTTAATATTTTTGTAGTTGTCAATGGACCAATATTTTATTTATTTATACACAGTGCTAGAATCAAACCCAGTGTATCACACATGCTAGACAAGCACTCTTACCACTGTACTACAACCCCCCAGCCCTCTCTCAGTTTCGTTATCTATAAAATATAAGGTACATAAGATTGCTTGTAAAGTGAGAACAATGCCTGCACATATGGTAAATACTTAATAAATATTACCTGACATTTCTAATAATTATCATCTTTATAATATTTTAATCATAATATTATCATTTTTATAATCTTTTAATGGTTTAAGTCACATTATATCATATTTTTAAAAATTATAATCCATGTAAGATAAGAATTAGATAACTAACTAGAAAATTCAGTTAATCAGACACAGTATTAAACTACATTTCAGTGGTATAGTTTAAAATTTCTGAGATTTTCCACATAGAAAAGACTATTATGAAGTTAAAACTGTAAGAAATCATATTTCAATAAGCATAGGAATGTAAAATTGTAATTAAAATGTAGTAACAGGTCCTCAAACAAACAAACACCAAAATGCAGTAAATTAAGTTTTTAGCATTTTCTGAGAAGTTTGCCTTCTCCCAACCTATTAATTGTTACTGAGTACTTAGATATAGCCAGATACAAACTAGGTCAGATTAAAACATAGGACATATTTAAATAATGAAAAGCTTTGACATAAATTAATTCTGATCAAACTTTTCATTTACTTAAATTTTTACAAAACATTTTGCAATCTCAATTTGTTTATTCTCCCTTGAGATAATACAACTGGAATATTTGGAATTGCTTAATAGAGACTGGTTTTGATTGAGAAATGTGGCATTACTTAATAACACAAGTATGATAGTCACATCTGTATTTACAAACTGGTCATATGAGTAAGAAAAAAACCTAGTCATGAAAAAAATCAATTAGAGGATGAGAAATAACCATGACAATGATCAAGAAATCTTTCTATCTAGTCTACTAGAAATGTACCCTCCATTGGACAAGAGAATTTTATTGTTTTTACTTCTATATCCCAGGCAACCAGAATGACATATAATCAATGCTGAATAAACATTTGCCAAATAACTCTAAATCTGCTGAGCATAACTGGGCAGAGGAACGAGTATTAGGTCATTTGAAATAAGTGATAAGAGAATTCCTCAATAAAGAAACATTTTGAATCACATGATATCATAAAGATAAAGTTACTGCTTGGAGAAGTCATTTAGCAAATATTTATGCTATATAGTAGGACTATATGAAGTGACAGACGATTCAATGATGATCAAAACATACATGATCCCCGCCTCTGTGGAATTTATAGTCTCATAGAGGTAATATCATGAATGAAAAAACACAACTCAGAGCTTAAAAGATAGTTGTACTAGACATTAAAAAAAGGCATAATTTAAGTTTGCTGAAAGAATCCACAGGAACTACTCTTAGTCTTAAATGCAAAGCAGACTACCTATTAAACTAAAATTAGAAAGAAAAGAAGGTATAAAATATTTATTCTTAAGAAGCTTAAAGAGGAGAAAATATTCTTTGAAGTAGGCTAATCTCTTTACTGTCCTTTAAATATGCTCTGTTCTGATGTTTTTTTCTTCTACTTAAGATACTTCCTTGTCTATGTAAATTCAAAAGGCTTTCCTTGCTCACTTTACATTTTTCTATATCCTTCTATATTAATATAGCTCTTGTTATCTACATATCCATTTAAAGTTACTGTACACTGAAAAAGGACAAGGACTCTAGAGGCCAACGAATCCTGCTAAGTATCAGCAGTGATTTTTAGTAGGCCACATAACTTTTCAAGATTTTTGCTTCTTTATTTGTAAGACTGGTTTGATATCACCCATTACACATGAAATAATTATGAAGATTAAATAAGATACATATAAAACTTCCCCAGCAGATTAGAATAAGTGTCCAATAGATGTTTATTCCCTTATACTGCCTGTTAATTACTCTTTGAGACAGTTTCTTATCTCCCCAACAAGATGAAGCTACTTAAGGTAGACAAGTACTTCTTTTTAAATCAGCATATCAGCTTTTTAACACAAAACACTAGAGGAGAATCCTTTACATTGTTGGTATACTGACAGATGTATAAATTTTGGATTTAAAAAGCGTCTATGCTACTCTATCTCAGGTAGAAACTGTAAGTCTATTATGAAAAAAATGGCATGGTATTGGCACCAAAACAGACTTGTAGACCAATGGTACAGAATAGAGGATACAGAGACAAACCCACGTAAATACGATTATCTCATACTAGACAAGGGTGCCAAAAACATTCACTGGAGATAGCCTATTCAACAAATGGTGTTGGCAAAACTAGAAATCCATATGAAGCAAAATGAAATTAAATCTCTTGTTTCTCACCTGGCACAAAAATCAACTCAAAATGGATCAAAGACTTAGGTACTAGAACAGAGACCGGGCCGCTAATAGAAGAAAAAACAGGCCCAAATCTGCACCATGTTGGCCTAGGATCTGACTTCCTTAACAAGACTCCTAAAGAGCAAGTAAAATCAAGAATCAATAAATGGGATGGATTCAAATTTAAAAAGCTTCTTCTCAGCAAAGGAAACAATAATGTGAAGAGAAAGCCTACAGATTGGGAGAAAATCTTTACCACAAGCACCTCCGATAAAGCATTAATCTCTAGGATATATAAAGAATTCAAAAAACTTAACACCAAAAAAACAAATAACCCAATCAATAATAGAAGCAGAAATACAATTGATCAACAAACATATGAAGAAGTGTTTAACATCTCTAGCAATTAGCGAAATACAAATCAAAACTACTCTAAGATTTCATCTCATTTCTGTTAGAATAGCAATAATCAAGAATATAGGCAACAATAAATGTTGGTGAGGATGTGGTAAAAAAGGTACACTCATACATTGCTGGTGGGACTGCAAATTGGTGCAACCACTATGGAAAGCAGTATGAAGATTCCACAGAAAACTGGGAATGGAACCACCATTTGATCTAGCTATCCCACTTCTTGGTTTATAGCCAAAGGACTTAAAATCAGCATGCTATAGTGATGCAACCACATCAATGTTTATAGTGGCTCAATTCACAATAGCTAGACCAACCTAGGTGTCCCTCAATAGATGAATGGATAAAGAAAATATGGTACATATACTCAATGGAATATTACTCAGCTTTAAAGAAGAGTGAAATTATGTCACTTGCCTGTAAATGGATGGAGTTGGAGAATATCATGCTAAGCAAAATAAGTCAATCACACAAACCAAAGGCCAAATGTTTTGTATAATATGTGGACACTAATTCATAATAAGGTGGGGGGCACTAGGGAAGAATAGCGTTACCTTGGATTAAGTAGAGGGAAGTTATGGGAGGGGAGAGGAAGGGATGTGGGGATAGAAAAGATAACAGAATGAAACAGACATTATTACTGTATGTGTGTGTGTGTGTATGTATGTGTGTGTACATGAATAGCCAAACAGGCTATTCATGGAATCCACTGCAATAAGTCTTTTAACATTTTCCTCTTATTTTTCTTTTTATTTTCCTTAACTTGTACAAATATTTCTGTACATAATTTTGTAAATTTTTGTAGAGTAATTGCTTCAAAGAAATATATATATGTAGTCATATATATATATATATATATATGACTACATGACATGATTCTGCAACATGTACATTCAGAAAAATGAGAAATTATATCTCAACTATGTACAATATATCAAAGTGTATAAATGCATTCTACTGTCATATATAACTAATTAAATTAAAAAACTAATAAATAAATAGCTTATTTGCTAAAAAAAAAACTTTATAGACTCATCCTCAAAATTTGATGTTTAGGGTGTAAAGCTATATGCTAGGATAACTGCTACTACTAACACAAAGAGTAAAGTTTTGGTTCATACTAAAGGATAACTATTTACTAATGTGTAGCAAGCTGAATTTTAGAAATATTTATTAATGAGTGTATAGTGGGGGATAAAAGTAGCATGTGAAACATATATAAAAATTCATAAAATACTGTCTTTAAAGAGTTTACATGTCTGCCTCTAACACTTGGGTAACATTTAAATATCAGATAAATACATATACTTCAATTATTTACAATTTAAAATTACTATAGGTAATTCAATCTCAAGCACTACACACATACACAAAAATCACTATAGGTAAAAAATGCCTAATTTTACATATATATGTAACCAATTTACTGCAAATATATTTAAGTATCTATATTGAATATATATTGAACATATATTAATAATAATATATTTAATGCAAATATTTGAGGTGAATTGGGTAAATAAACATATACAACACAATCATCCGCAAAAAAAGCCATGTAACTAAATGTTTTAAGAGTTTAAAAAGTACAGAAGAGATTATGTGATGTGGGCTATAAGGATCAAGGAGGGTTTCTTTGAAGGAGCAATTCTTGTCTACATCTTAAAGATTAGATCCATACAGTGAGAATGGGCCATTAAGAATGGTGAGTAAGCTCACCTAGCTGATAGAATATTTGTGAACTAGGGAGAATGATAGATATTTTGCAATCTCCTTCTTTTCCATTGGTTTGGTGGTAGTAAAATCTCCCAAACAGGCTATTCATGGAACCCACTGCAAAAAGTCTTTTGACATTTTCCTCTTATTTTTCTTTTTATTTTCCTTAACTTGTACAAATGTTTCTATACATAATTTTGTAAATTTTTGTAAAGAGTAATTGCTTCAAATACGTATGAATCCTTTACACTCTTCTAACCCAACAAAAACTAATCACGTTAGGGAAAAAAAATGTATCATACTGGAAGCCTTGTAATGTAATCTATTTCTGAAACATGAATTCTTAACAGTCCTGGCATGAATCTTACTGCAATAAAAATAAGCTCTCCTTGCCTATGGTATTGCTTTATTAAGTCTCATATTGTGTTCAGATACCTGAGAGTGCTTCTCCTCGTTGTAACACTTCTTCAATATTGGCCACCATGATTCTCTGCACATCTTGCAATTCAGTGTTGATAGAGCCTAGGTTTCTCCGAGCACGACTGTCAATGTACAGCTTCTTGGTTTTCTGAATGAAGGTATCTACAACAATGAAGAAAAGTGACCATTAACAACTCCTTTCAAGTCCATCGGAGTATTTAAGTAGGGAATTAGAAGTTTTGAGCTTATTGGATTTGCCACTGTCCCTGGTTTAATCAAGCACATGGGGTGAGTATCAAAATCTAGGCTTTGATTTCTTTTTTTAAAATATTTTATTTTTTAGTTGTAGATGGATATAATATTTTATTTTTATTGGTGCTGAGGATCGAACCCAGGGCCTTGCACGTGCTAGACAAGCGCTCTACTGCTGAGCCACAATACCAGCCCTAGCCTTTGATTTCTTCATTTGTAAAATGTGAAGCTGTAACTAGGTGACCATTCAGGGGATATGAGCTTTAGAGAATTCTGAATAAAAAGTATTTGCTATTAGACATTTTACAGAAATAAAGACCACTATCACAAGCCTTTCCTCAAAGCAGAAAATTTCAAACTATATTTGGTTTCAATACTTATTCTATACATTCCCAAAAGTATGCGGGTAACACCCTACCATCATTATAGACTAACAAGGCAAAAGAGTTAATGATTACTAAAAAGTTATCATTACAAATGTTGCCTTAAAGTATTTTCTTTAATATATTTTCCTAATGTCGTGACATTCTTAAACTTTGGGTAAAGTAAGCATGTGACTGGGAATTTCCTAAAATACCAATGTAAAGCTACAGTCTCATTCATCTTTAGCCAACGTTGGTGTAAGAATGAATTATTATTAAAGATACTTTTAACTTTTGGCAAAAATCTGAAGTTATATGTGCTAGACACCTTTCACTTGGCCTCTTTGGATCCCTTCCACCTTTTTGCACCTTGCTTTCTGTCTTGGGAACCTGACCTGTATGGTGTACCTCAATGGGCTCCTTACCCTCTGGCTTCCAGCAAAGATCAGGCAATGAAGGAGGTCCCAAGAGTAGAAAAGGTTTGGAACAGACCAGTGATATCAGGGTACTTATTCCCAATAACTTCCTAAGAAGTCACTTTCAGCTGGAAGTATCTCTCTTGCAAAAGTTAGTGATCCTAACTTTTGGTTTCTCTTATAAATTTCTTCTTTTCAATTCTAAAAACTGCTCCTTCCTTTTATGCCTTCAAGCCTAGGGATGGTAAAACTACTTTATTACTGATTGCAGATTACTATGCCTTATGGTTCTCTTATAGCCCATTCATACATATCTTCAGGTATAGCCAGTTAAGCTTGTTTGAGCGTACCATCTATTTCTTGTGTGACCTTGACACATGTGTTTTAGTTTTTCTTTAGGTTTACTAAATTGTTATTATCTACAAAAAATAAAATCTGAACAACTGGACATTATATGAATTAGCTTTTGGAGAGTTTATAGTTACGAAACACTATTTTGCCAAATTTTTAATTTCTATAAGGCAAGATGACTCACTTATCAGGCAAACTTGAAACACTCCAGAAATTCTAAGATAGTAAAATTACTTACTTTTTTAACTAAAAATTTCAGCAATGTAGCATGATCCTACTTATTCTTACCCTATATTTGATGTTCTTAGGATATTTCTTTTGATATATTGCCACTAGATACTTTACGAGGTCTGACTAGTATTGAATCTTTTCATAATTCCTATACAAATACAGATACCCACGCTCACTACTTCTGAATATAGTAAATATTAGTCTCCAATCAATAATACATCTTCTTGTATTTTTTTAATTAGAGGATACTTTTCTACTAAAAGAAACAAAATACCATTTTTTTCTCATTTCCAAATTCTTATCTCCAAAAAATGAATCTTAATATTAGCATGTGTCTAGAGGTTGGAAGAAAGAAGACTCAGCTGTTATAAGCCCATTAAGTAGAGCTTTATGCATAGCTCTGGTCACAAATGCCCCTAATTGGTGATGGTGCATGCCTGTAATCTCACAGGCTCTGGAGGCTGAGGCAGGAGGACTGTGAATTCAAAGCCAGCCTCAGCAACTTAGCAAGCCCCTAAGCAACTCAGTGAGACCCTGAGTCTAAATAAAATACAAAAAAGGGAGGAGGATGCAGCTTGATGGTTAAGCACCCCTGGGTTCAATCCCCATAGCACACACACCCACAAAAAGCCCCTAATGAAGAATCAAGCCAAAGAACAAAAAGGCAACAAGATCAAAAGGGAAAAGATAATTATATCTAGAGAATATTGCTTCTAAGAAGGGAGCCTCATTCATTCAAAGAGACAAAACGAGGGCCAGGTATGGTGGCACATGCCTATAACTCCAGCAATTCAGAAGATTGAGGCAAGAGGATCTCAAGTTTGAGGACAACCTTGGCAATGCACTTAGTAAAACCCTGTCTCAAAATAAAAACCAAAAGTACTGGGGGTGTGTAGCTTACTGGTAAGGTATCCAGGGTTAATTCCCAGGACCACCAAGAAATAAAACAAAAAAACAACCAAAGAAGAAAAGGAACAAAAAGATGTAGAATGGGAGAAGAGGCTAAAGCCAAAATTCCAGTAAGGTAAACATCAGGGAAAAAAAACGTGTCCAAATTTTATCAGTGTAACAAAGAGCTTTTCCTCTATATTGTTTGTTCCCCTAATAAAGAAGTGAGGGGCATAAACTTACCAAACTCAATAAAGGAGTAAGGTCTAGACACAGTAGGCACCTTTTTCCCATGCTGTTCATCAAATTCTGAGTGCAAATCTTCTAGGTAGGCAAAAGCCAACTTCTTAGGGAAGGCAGCTTCACACAAAACCAGATAACACACTCCCTGCTCAATAATATAGCTGAAAAGACAAAAAAGCAAGACAAAGTTGTTTATAAAGTTAACAGTACCTCAAACTTGTTGAAGCAGACTCTGAGGACCATATAAACTTGTGAAAATGTCTAGTTTAATCTCTCTGAGGCTGGCCAAGAGAAGATCAATTTCAAACCACAAATTCTCAGAATCAGAAAACAAACATCTTCTCATTAAGAGACATATATCCCAAAAGGAGTATAACTATTTTATTCATTACACAATTCTTCAACTAACATATATCAATACCTAAAATTTCTTCTTAGAAATAGATTTTTCACTATATCTACCCTTTGATTTTTGTAAGTGAACTAGTATACATATATTATATTTCTTCTAGTCACAAAGTAAAACTGGAAATTTTTGTGGACACTTAAAAGCTGAAAATAAACAGCATATTATTTACTGGGTATAGACAAATGTGGCCTTGGAACTAATAATGCTCTCTGATTTCCAGGCTAGGAAAACTATAATCAATTGGAAACTACTGAACAACAGAATTTGGCTTCCATTTGTGATAGGGAGTTCTCTGGACTACATGTATGAATATCTACATGTATGAGATATTCTTGGGAAAAGTTTAGGCTATTACTTAAAAGCTTTCAAACTTCTTTTTTAGCTATAGTATTCTTTTTTTAAAAAAATATTTTTAGCTGTAGATGGACATAGTAACTTTATTTATTTTTATGTGGTGCTGAGGATTGATCCCAGTGCCTCACACATGCTAGCCAAGCACTGTATTACTGAGTCATAATTTCAGTCAGCTATAGTATTCTTTACTTCAGCAAAAAATTATACTTAAAAGACCTATGTGTACAGATTATTTTAGAAGTTATTTAGTGTAAATAGGAGTTTAAAGGCCAAAAGCATTATATAAACTCCCATCCCTGCCCTATGTAACACCTGAGGTATCCTATGGCTTCACAAAAGACAATTTAAAGACTATTACAGTATCTTAGGCTCCTAAATATCATACTAATTACTTGCTTAGAAATAACAGTTCTCCCTGCCTTCAAGCTATATCATCTTCTATACCACATGTTTTATTCCCCTCAAATTGACAGTATCACATTGCCTTGTTTACAAACTCTAGAGGTTCTCCAATACCTATGCAATAAAATCATACTTCTTGAAGTATTTATAGCCCTCCAAAAGTGCTAAGCTACTTTCTATAACATATTCTAATATACCAAATGGCAAGCTGTTTCCTAACAAGCTAGGTTTTAAATTTTAAAATATTTTTGTGAACTTCTACTTATGCTGTCATTTCTAATTATAATGCTCTTTTATATACTTGGAGAAATCCTGTTCCTTTTATATGCTCAATTGTATTATAATTTTTTTCTGTGAAATTTCTCTGCATTTTCTCTTCCTCTATCCCTTTCTTCATATTAACCCCCACAAATGGGAATTTACTACTTCCTTCTCTCTCCCCCAAAGCATTCAGATTGCATTACAGCATTTATTGCCCTGAAATATTATGGTATACTTGTTTTAATATGTGTTTCTCTCAGCTATAAAAAGATAAGCTCATTAAAGGTAATGATATTAAAAGGAAGACTTAATAAAGGGCCTGGCAAGTAAATCTTTAATAAATAGCTCTCTGGTAGAAATAAAAGATATGAGATTATGAACATCCTAAAGGAACCAGACAGAAGAAAATCCTTTAATTCTATAAGAACTTTCCTAAGTCTTTTGTTTCCTCACCCATGGTAGACATATACAGTCCCTCAGTAGTTATAAGAGGTTGCTTCCTGGACCCTTGTGGATACGGAAATCCAAGGATGCTCAAATCTCTTATATACCAATAGATATGGAAGACTAATTGTATTATATAATTAATAGCATAATTACATAATTATACTGCTATGTTGCCCAGGATGGGGTCAACCAAGCTTCCTGCCTCAATGTCATAAGCAGTTGTGACTATGGGTGTATATAATCTTAAATGACTGCCTAAATGACTATTTTTTGGTGTTGAAAATTAGATTTATATAAAATGTTTCAGATACTATATAAATTGATACCTTACAAAATGCAATGTCTACCATTTTCTTAATCAACAGGCCAAGGTTTTGTTTTTATTTGGATATATTTAATTACTCGTCTTTGATAAATGGTGGTATTTTGTATTTTTTATTTTTAGTTAAACCCAAAATGTTCTTCTTGGGTCTAAATTACTGAGTCCCTAAAATGGCAAAGATTATTTAGCTGATCCCTTTTTTTTTTCTGTGATCTTGTAATTTTCCTGCTATATCAGATTCAAATTTGACATGTACTGAACATTTAATACCAGTTGCTTATAAATCATTTAAAATGCAATAAAGTTCTTTTGATCCCTCTCTCAGGTGTATGTATTGTCTTTACCAATGACTGAGATGCTTTTAAACTTTTTTTCCTAAATAATAACTCATATTTATTGATTATTCCCTTTGTGCCAGGCAAGTAATACATATGATTTCCTTTAAAATCCTTATGGAACTTCTATAATCATTTGCCCTATTTTATAGAGAAAAGTGAGGCTTGAAAAGGTTATGTGAATTGCTCAAAGTTACATTCTAGTAAATGTCTAAGCAAGAGTACTAACCTACCTATGTCTGGCTCCAAGACATTCCTAAAGTAAGAGGTTATCTGTTATTGCATGATGGGTACATAGTTTTTTTAGACACAAGTTATGAGGCTAAATTACTGTAAGCATGTCAAGAGGAGTTGCTTCCAGGAAGAGACTCTATTTTTCAAGTTATCTTTACTTTAAAAGACTGTCACAATTCTCATAAGGTGTCACATTTACTGTATTTCATTCATAAATGATCATAAAAAAATCAGGACTATACTCACTGAAAAGTCATTGCTCCTGCTTCCAAGGTACACCTGGTAGGGGACTGTTCATTCAACTTTCGAAAGAGTTGTTTAGCCTGGCTCTGATACTGTTGAAGGTCCCGGCCAGACTGAAAGAAGACACCTTCATTTAAGAATTTTCCACACAAAAAGCTGTGTCAATTAGTGAGAAGCATCATGATATTAGGAGGATGTTATGTGAATAAGATCCTTAATTTACAGCTTAATAAGATTCATTTCAATGAGAGAAAAATGATCCTACTTTTACGACAAAGACGACCTAATCCCTACTTCAAAATCATATTGGTTATTTGCTACGAAGCAAAAGTATGTATCTTCACTACATTTCTGACACTTTCAGTGTTCTTTCCACTATTAGGTCAGTATCTTCTTCCTAACCCATTTCACTTTTACAGTTACTGGCACAGAATGGCACAAGCATGTGTTATAATCATGAGAAATTTGTGACTGACGAATCTTATTTTTATGCAGGCATATCAAGTAAAACCTTCCACAAAGCCTTATATGATTGAGAATTTAAGCAAAACTAAATGTACACACTATTAACTTCAGATTATACGAACACCATGAGTGAAACTAATAAAAAATAAGTAGGGGTATAATAAGGACTGGAAAGTCAAATATCCTTTATGTATAAATCTATTTGGTTTTCTGGATAGCAAAGTTTGAATTCTGAGGAACATGTGCAACAAAATGAAAATAATAACATGTGAGTAATGTAATTATAGGTCATATTTACCTAAAGGATTTCTGGATAATACTATAATTAGTTAAAAAGGGGGAGCGAGGGTGAGAGAAACAGTGGAGAAACTACTGGAGAAATAGTGTCATTACTTTCTTTCTGCAGTGCTGGGCCCTCATGCATACTAGGCAAGTGCTCTAGCATTGTAGTAATATCTTTTTGAAAGGAGAGAATGAAGAATAGGAAGCAAACACATTATTTATTCATTTGCATACTAATTGGGGAAAGGAAGACTTTCTGTTGGCTATGATCTGAATGTCTGCATCTCCTCAAAATTCACGTTGAAAAAAATTTTTTAAACCAGGAATTGAACCATTTAACCACTGAGGTGCATATCCAGTCCTTTTTATTTTTTATTTTGAGATGCGGTCTTGCTAAGAGATTAGAACCTCGATAAATTGCTGAAGCTGGCTTTGAATTTGTAATCCTCCTGCCTCAGCCTCCTGAGCTCCTGGGATTATAGGCATGTACCACTTAACCTCAAGGTGATATACCATTCCTGAGAAATACAATGCTGATACAATCCTTTTGGCTAAATAATAACCTTTTTGGTATACTTACATGACCAAATACTATGTATCCACCCAAACAATGTCATGTAATATTTAATGATATCAGACAATGTTTATCAGATACTGGTAAGTGGAAAATTGAGGTAAAACAGTCTTACAGTATTGTCAGTTATTTAATCATACACAAACATGAGCATACACACACATTTAAGGTCACTCACCAAAAAGATATAATGAGTAGAGATTATAGGTAATAATCACCACTGACATTTTGGTCTTTTTGCTTGCATATATTCACTAAACTTTCTAAATAAGCATGAATTAATTTTGCAATGGGAAAAATTAGTCATTTACTCATTAACTCATTCATTCCTGTTTACTAAATATTTGCATCCAGTGTATGATGAGCAAGTCTGGTTTATGAATTTTTTTAAAAAATGTGGCATATATACAATATGAAATATTACTCAACAATAAAAGAGAATAAAATCATGGCATTTGCAGGTAAATGGATGCAGTTGGAGAAGATAATGCTAAGTGAAGTTAGCCAATCCCAAAATATCAAATGGTGAATGTTTTCTCTGATATAAGGTAACTGTCTCATAGTGGAGTAGGGAGAGGGCATATGGGAGGAATAGATGAACTCTAGATAGGGCAGAGGAGTGGGAGGGGGCAGGGGTTTAGCCATGATGGGGAATGTGATGGTCATCATTATCCAAAGTACATGTATGAAGACATGAATTGGTGTGAACATACTTTATATACAAACAGAGACATGAAAAATTGTGTTCTATATGTGTAATAAGAATTGTGATGTATTCCGCTGTCATGTATTTAAAAAATAAAAGCAATTTTAAAAAAAGATTCTTCAGAAACAGGTAAATGAAATTAAGGGCTCACTTTCTGCCAGGCCCTGTTCTAAACACTTTATATAATTTAACTCATTTAATCTTCACAATTACCTTGAGATGACTATCATACCAATATTTGATAAATCAAACCTGCCTCCGGACCAAGGACTCCAGATCAATAAAGGATGGAGTGAGGATCTGAGCCTAGGTAGTCTGGCTCTGGAGCCCCTGCTCCAAATGTTACATAACACCAATTATATAATTCAAATTTCTTTAATAGTAAATATATCTTCTAAGTGATGTTTTGCTAATTCGTAGAAAATGCTCAAGAAATCATGTGGCAACTTGGATACAGAAGTTACAAAACAACATAACCTCTACTTTACAGTACTGACCTTTAGATTATTTTCAGTGTCAAAGTCACAAAGGGCGCACAGTCAGCTAGTTCACCTAAAAATATTTGAGTGTCCTGATTCTACCTTCTACTTCATCTAGAATAGATTAATAAGCTTTATATACTTTATAATGATATCTGTTGGTAATCCAATAATGAAGTGGATGAGAATAACTGGACAAATTGTGTAAAATACTTGAAGTAATTTGATAGCATATTTAGGATTTATCTCTCTATAATACAAAAAGTACAAGGTAGTAATTTGTCGTACAACCATAATAGTTTCATTGCTGTCACCTAGGACTGCTAACAACTAGTTCTATCAAGTATCATCTTTTGCCTTAGTAAGAACTTTTAGCTAAGCTCTTGTCATTTAAAAATCCCTATTGAATTCAGCTGGTCAAAGTCCAGCAGAACCAAGAACCAACCATTTTTCTCTATAATCTACCTTAAATAATTGGGAGAATGAAGCTGTTTAACTGTACAACAGACTATTTGTTTTTTGTTTTTTTTTTGAGTTCCCTGCTGGTTAGATCTACCCTACCACCTTCTTGAAGTCTAAACTGCCCTCCACAGAGCTGGTGCAAAATTAAAGAGAATACAATCATTTTAAGGTAGAACAGAAAGGTGGATAAAGAAATTGCAAACACCCTAAAAGGAAAAACACCACAAAAAGAGCAAAGGAATACACAGGATATTAATTAGGGTAGTCTGAGTTTGTGAAGAAAGCTCATTTCTATACCTGCCCTAAGCCTAAATTTCTAGTTAAGTACAGAGGAAACACTGTATATAACATTCTGTTATTTTCAGAATTTTGCTCTCAATTATATAATCTGAATAACTTTTCATTTCATAAGGCAGCTTGTACAAGGACTGGTACCTAGTAAACACCTAAAATTATCAGTGACATAGTTGAAAGCACTTTGAATTATTTGGCTTAGACAATTAAGGTATTTAAACATAAAAGTAGGCGTTGGAGTTGTGGCTCAGTGGGTAGAATGCTTGCCTTGCATGTGTGAGGCATTGGGTTCGATCCTCAGCACCACATAAAAATAAAAATAAAGATTTTTAAAAAAATCTTAAATAAATTTTTTTTTTGTAGTTGTAAATGGACAGAATGCCTTTATTTCATTTGTTTATTTTTACATGGTGCTGAGGATCAAACCCAGTGCCTCATGCATGCTAGGCAAGTGCTCTGCCACTGAGCTACAGGCCAGGCCCTAAAAAAAAAATCTTAAAAAAAAAAAAAAAGTATTTGGTAGGATAATCTGTTCTTAAAAAGCTACTACTAGACTGGTAAGGAGTGACTACATCATCAAAAGTCCTAGAACAAGGCAGTGGAATTTGGTGGTCAGGCACTAAGCCTGCTCTAGAGCCTAACAGATACTGATTAAAAACCAGTGGTTCTCAACCTGGGGTGATTTTACTCTCAAGGGGACATTTGGCCATGGCTAGAAATATTTTGAATTGTAATAAAGGGAAAGAGGTAGAGCTACTGCCATCTGGAGGTATAGGCCAAGTATGTCCTTACACATCCTAAAATGCGCTGAAAAGTCCCTCACAACAAAGAAACCCAAAATGTCAATGGTTGCTGAGGTAAAAAAAATCTTGATGAAAAATTCCACTATGCTACTTACTAGCTGTATAAGTAACCTATTCCCCATAAGCCTCACAGCTTCTTTATCTATAAATAGGGATAATTAAAGAATCTATTCTAATATGATCAGTATGAGGATTGAATGAAATAATGCATTTAGGCTTAGCATAGTGCTTGGTATGCAGTATGCCTTCTATAAATGTTCTCTATATAATTATAATAGTAAAAGTAAGTCTAGAACTCATATTTGCAGACATTAAAAGTTTAAGAGACATTCTGCTGTCATATATACTTAATTAAAATAAATACATAAATAAAGATCTAGAGATATGCCTAAAGTAAATAAAATGATCCTAACTCCAAAAAAAAAAAAAAAAAAAAAAATGTTTAAGAGAGACTTTATTACTTAAAAACAAAATTTCTAGAAGAAAATACAATGGAATTATAATCACATAAATATTTGTGTCAAATGTCTTTGTCAATGAAACCAAGCACCCACCTTAGTAAATCAATACCACACTCAAAATTAAGAAACAAACAATAACAAATCAATTTTTTTCAATAAAGTATCAAGGGAGAGTAGGGGCCCTCTAATATTAAGAAAATTTTCATATCCACTTTATATTCTTTGCTCACAATAGAATAAATGCAAAAGTTGAAAAACTGATCAGATTCTTCCCCTTTTTACTTCACCGCCATCCCTCATGGGTAAAATATTTCTCAAACTACATGTCCTTCAAGGAAATTTTCCCATGTTCTTGGGATCCTTTGAACAATCACACTCCTCCTGCTGAGTGGTTCTAGAAAATTCTTAACAAAAGTGGAGAATCAACAGAAAAACATTTCACAGTTAAAATTCAGGATGAGATATTTTTCACAGTTTATTTCAATGAGTAGACTTTGGTGGAATGAATGAAATATATTTCACTTAGCATAACCTGCAACTCTATCATCTGTATAACTACTCTCTTAAAAGTGAAAATAAACAAATTTACTTTCAAAAATAAAGAGGCATAAAATCAAATAGAAGAGTTCCTTAATAACAGATCCTCCTATCAACTTAGATGTCATTTCTGGGAAGGCCCTTCTGATCTTAGATATCTATGTTCAGCCCCAGAACCCCTTCCTCTTCCATAATGGTTTTACATTACAATGGTTAGTTATCTGATTTTTCCACTAGACTGTAAGCTCTATGAAGGTGGAGACTGAGTCCTCTCATCCCTTGCATTAACAAAATGCCTGCCACATTTTTTTTTTTTTTAAAATGAGTATCATAAATGAAGAATCCAAGAAAAGGAATGCACGAAATGTTTTTCCTCTTAGGAATCCATCGTTTTTAAGCCTGAGGTTTTAAAAATCTACTTAGGTTGTATGAGAAAGTAATATAAAATTGACCACTTTAAATAAGTTACATAAATTCTATTACTGCCTTCTTTAGGGACCTCCCAGGCTTGTTCCTGACACTTATCTCACACCGAAAATCTCCCATGTGATTCTAAGTCACAAAGCAATTTCCTTTTAAGATAACTGGTGGAGTTATTATTAATCAATTCAATAAATTTCTGAACACCCCCTAGCATAAAGCTACTGTTGTAAAAGCTATAGAGAACACAAAGATGAGTAAGACCTGTCGTTTGTTTGCCTACTAGGAAACTTCACTTACTGAAAGACAAAGCAAAATAAAATAAGGTACAATGAATTGCAGAAATTTGGTACGTTTATTGGGCGAGATAGGAATTGTGCATAACCTTGAAAGAAGGCACCCCAATGAAATTTAACGATTGCATATAAGTGGTAAAATTACCTCACCCACTTTCAAAAGATGTCAGCAAGCCGGGTCAAGGATCAAGTGCTACAGAAAGACGAGTTGAAGAACTTAGGAACTCACTTTTTCCTAGGATTTGTGTCAACGGCCTTATTAGCAGCAGAAAATCATGAGTCCTAACTTTGTTACAAAGCCCCTAAAAAGCCACAGAACACAATTAGTGATCACACTTAGATCAAACCTATTCCTTTTCCGAAGTATTTTTCTGAAGAGAAACGGGTAACACAAAAATCTGTCTTCGCTTTTAGGAAAGATTTCCTCTCAGGGGTAGCCTCTCCACCACTGAAAGAGCGGAGCACTTCAGACCCGTCGGGAGATCCTGGGAGGTTCGCAAGGGTCTCCCGCGTCCTAGGAAGGAATCCGAAGCTGAAAGCAGCGCGTTCGCGGGGACTTGGGGTCGCCGGGATCTGTTAGTGGCTCACCTGTTCGTCCTCCTGCATGGAGGCGGCCAGCGGAAGCCCGTCTGCCACTCGGGCGATCATCGTCAGTAACACCATTTTCACTGGCTTCAGGGACCCAACACTGGCCCGGGGCGTCGTCCTCACTTCCTCCGCTGCAGCAGCAGTCACACCTCTACCTCAGTTCCCTAAGAGACAACTGCTTGCGTCTCCGCTTCCCGCTGAGGTGGCCGGAAACAGCTTAAGAGCTTTCCACTACCGGTCCCCAAAATTGGCTTCCCACCGAGAACCACAACTACGGAACGTTAGTTCCGTCGTCTCTCCTACCTTTGTAAATTTCCAAAGTCCCGCCTACTTTTCTGAATTTTTGAGCTTCCAATAAATCTCGCTTCTGGAGTGGGTGTGGCACCCGAACTGAAAGAATGTTCTAGTTCTTAATACTTTTAAGTTTGGGGAGAGGACTGGAAAGAGGGTGGGAGTTAGTAGGTTGTTAGAAGAAAGTTATGTGAAAGCACTGAAAATCAGGCTATATTTTTCATATTTAATTTTTGTATTTTATAGAAAATTATATACAGAATATTTCCTATATTTGTATATCTCCAGGCAGAGATTTTTTGTTTTTTTCCTTGGCTGCATTTTTTTTTTCCATACTGTATCCCCAGATTTTTTGGACAGTTTCTGGTAGGAGGTCAGTAAATAATGTATGTATGTTATAAAAGAACAAGTACAGGACCTCAGAGATACCTAAGTCAGTCAGCCTAAAACCTTCATGAATCATGCTATACAGCAGGGCAGTCTTACTGGAACTTTCAGTGACTGGGCATTTATTCCCTATTGGAATATCTTCTAGACAATCGAACTTCAGGAACTGTCCCCAGTTCTCTGTTCTTTGATATCCCCATCTCTAATCTCAGGAATATTATTCACAGCATTTTTGTGAATATTAGAATAAAATGTAGGAGCAGGGATTTCATAAAATAAAGAGAAGTTATAAAAAAATCTATTGTAACATATTAATAACATCTAGTCTTAATGTTTATAGTTGGTGCCTACATTAATAGAAATGCTAAGCACTTCATGTATATTTTTTTTTTGAGAGAGAGAATTTTTTTTTTAATATTTATTTTTCAGTTTTCGGCGGACACAACATCTTCATTTTTATTTTATGTGGTGCTGAGGATGGAACCCAGTGCCCAGTTCATGCCAGGCCAGTGCATTACCGCTTGAGCCACATCCCCAGCCCACACAACATCTTTTTTAATTTTATTTTTATGTGGTGCTGAGGATTGAACCCAGCGCCTGGCACATGCCAGGCGAGCCCGTTACTGCTTGAGCCACATCCCCAGCCCCTATGTATAATTTTTAATTCAACAAAAAACCCTATAAGATTGGATATAAGACTTGGGGAAAAAGCTTCAGAGAGTAATTTTTCCAAAGTAGCGAATGGGAAGAGGATTTGAACTCAGATTCAAGACAAATCCTGGCATGAGTCTTTCTTAACTTTTACTCAGAGATTAAAGGACTTTGCTTTTTTTTTTTTTTAAGAGAGAGAGAGAGAGAGAGAGAGAGAGAGAGAGAGAGAGAGAGAGAATTTTAATATTTATTTTTTAGTTTTCGGCGGACACAAAATCTTTGTTTGTATGTGGTGCTGAGGATCGAACCTGGGCTGCACACATGCCAGGCAAGCATGCTACAGCTTGAGCCACATCCCCAGCCCCAGGATTTTGGTTTTTTAAATTTACCTTTTTGATTGTCTTCAGTTATGAGGAAAAATAGTATTATTTCATTAGAAGTTTTGGGGAGGAAGACCCAATAAGACCTTGTGATTGACTCCACATGAATGATGAGGGACCAAAATTGATAAGAAACCAGTGGTTCTGTTTACAGATACAGTGAGTGCAATGGAAAGCAACTCATATATGGGAGCTTAAATTGGTAGAATCATAATACATTTAAAATAGGCTATAGTTATAACTTGTTCTAACTTCCCTTTTTTATCCTTAACAAGGACAGGCCTTCTCCACAATCTAAAATGATGGTAATGCGGCCTCTGTTAGAACAATCCCAGTAACTGTGAATTAATGACACAAATATTTTAAATAAGGATACTTCTATGTGAATTACGAAACAAAGAGAAAACTGTAGTAGGACTGTACAGAGAAGCAAATTTGGGCAAGAGTTTTAGTTCTTTACAGTTCCTAGCCCCAGGCTCTTCTCAAGATCCATATGCATTCCTGCTCTTGGATTCTATAAGATACTCTTGTTTCTTTTTATTAATAATCCCTTTTTTTATTTTTGTCTTGTTATATGTTTCAGCTACTTTGTGATGTTTCTGTTACAACCAAAAAAATTTAATACAGAAATGCAGAGTCAACCCGGACAAACCCCATTTTGGAACAACACTCATACTTGAACTTAAAAAAAAAAAATCCTTTTTTAGTTGTAGTTGGACACAATATCTTTATGTGGTGCTGAGGATGGAACCCAGGGCCTCCCACTTGCTAGGCGAGCGCTCTACTGCTGAGCCACAATCCCAGCCCCATACTTGAACTTCCTATGTCTCTGTTTTATTTATTTATTTATTTATTTTTATTGGTTGTTCAAAACATTACGAAGCTCTTGACATATCATATTTCATACATTAGATTCAAGTGGGTTATGTCTGTTTTAAAACACACTAGATGATTTTTGGTATCCCTCAGACACACTGAAATTATTATTCCTGAGGGCTAAGTAGCCTTCAGGAGAAAATTAGAATTATCTCTGTTAGACCTTAGGAACTCTGGAATCTGAGTGGCTTTTACTTGTGACTTGATTGCTATCATCTCATTCACATGCAGGTATTGCCTTCAACTCCTGCGCCCTTTGATCCTTTGAGTAATACAGTATGGTATAATAATGGCTAACTCTGTGATCTGGTAAAAGGAAGGTCTTCAACTAATTTACACTTAAAAAAAAAAAGAATAGCCACAAACATTTGTTCAAAATATTACAATTTATAAAGCTCATGTATAGTATACTTTTTGAATAAAATTTGATCACAATCTTCTGAAATGAGTAAAATTCAAGAACTTTGGGGTTTGTAAAATTTCTAGGAGAGAAAGAAAAGGAAACCATAGCTACAGCTGCTAGCAGATTCTGGAAATTTATAAAAAATGTGTAATTCACACATCAAAATCAATATTAAGCTGCTAAAATAGGATACGATTTTTTTTTTTTTTTTTGGATAATGGCAGAATCAGAAAGTTGCAGAATTTTTTTACAACTGGGATCAAAGAAAGTAATAGAGGCATCCGTTCATTCTTAATTCCCAAATGCCTAATTATATGTCAGACACTGAACTAGTAATAAAGATGCATAAATAATAGTCCCATTAACTTCTGTCCCGTATCCACCCACAGACGAAACACTGCTGCCGAGGGAAAGAATTCTGCAGGTAAATGGCAACTCCTGTTTGAATTTAAAAATTATATAAATGGAAAAAGCATTTCTCAGGAGATGGTACTCTTGATAAACAAAATAGCTACTGTATCTGAAAAGATATCCGGTCGTATGCACCAGTATGGCTCACTATTTCAAAAATTTAAAACTTAGAGATTACTACATAGCTGCTAACCTGAGCCTCACACGCTTTAGACCCCACCTCCTGCCTTCACTGCCTGCGAACCCGCTTAATACTCTGCCCTCTGCGGTTCTCCCCGCCCCCCCCCCCCCCCCCCCCCCCCCCGTTCTGATTGGTCATTTTTTCCGTGCCAGTCATTTTCAAAAGCTCCGCCTTCAGGCATGGCCATTGGTTATTTCTACGGGGTCCGGAACGGCCCCGCCTCCAGACACTATAGGCACTGGCCCGGATGGAAGCTGAGAAGCAGCGCCCCACGTGCATCGACGGGCTCTGTACTGGTGGTTAAATACTAATTATTTTGAAATGCTATTCCTTCTGACCTCCCTAAGGTGGGAGCTCCGTGAAGGTAGGAACGTGTTGGAAGGGAAGGGAAAGAAGAAAGGAACATAGTGTGCATTATGTCAGGTGAAAGCCACTGTTTAAAATAATTACTGCTTTAGAAAGCCTATTTTAAATACTGAGCGATAGCGAAACTTTGCCTGTTAGAAGAAACTGTCTTATAAAACTGCTAATTTCATGGTGTCTGTCTGGTTGTTTTGCTGTGTCAGGAAAGCAGGCAGAGAGCTGGCTCAGCTGGTCTATCCCTTGGAGTTTGGGATGGTGTGAGTTGAGAAAGATAGTTGGTAGATTTGAAAAGCAATTTTTTTTTTCCCTACAAGGCTTAAAACTCGTCCAAGACAGAAAAAAATAATTATTTGCTATTCCCAAGGGTATACCTGGAACCTAGCAAAAATTTTCAGTGTTATGGAAATAAATGAATAAATGGTGTGTCTCAGGGATTGAAAATACTCACTGGTTGTATACTGCACAATTTGCAGTTCTGTACTTAAGAAGACATATTCATAACCTATTTCTTTCGTTATTTTAATTAGTTATTAAATATTTACTGCTCAACTATTGTGGGTAATACCAGGCACCAGAATACAAAGAGGTGAATACAAAGCATGATGTTTGCTGGTAGAGTTTACATTCCACTTGACTCTGTCTCTCTTCCATTACCTCTAACCCACCTCCAACCCTATTGCTTTCCCAGTTTTCAGTCTGGATTAAAACAACCTTGGAGGGTGAATTTCTTTTCCCTGATGATCCATTCTGATTGCCCTTTACACCTGCAGCTCTACTCCTTTTCTATGGAATCTAAGTGGATTTAGTTATTTCTAGAAGCCATTATAATTTCCTGATCATGATACCTAAACACCATAATCCCAAATGTTGGCATCTTAAAAACTTGAAATCCTTAAAGTCTAACATTCCTCAAATTACAATCCTCAGGATTAACATCCTGAATGTGGAAATCCCTAAAGCCCCAAATCCATAAAGTGGTGATTCTCATGGTGGGAAAGCTATATAAAGGGGGACAGAAAGCCAAATTCTAAGGAAGGCATTGACCACACAATGTGGCAATGATGAAAACTTTAGTTCAAAAATGCATTATTTTTCTCCATTGGAATTATTTAGATTTAGGTTGTCCATCAAAGAATTTCAGATGGCCACAGTTATAAAGAGGATATACACAATTACCAACCATAGTGATGTACATTTTTAAAATTTGCTTTTTGACCTATTTATGAATATGATTCATTTTCTCATAACTGTCCTATGTATAAGACTATTCTAAT